TATATATATATATATAAAATTTACTTCATTTTTTATCAAGTTTTTGTTATTACTATCTAGTTTAAATTTATGTAAATGTAAAAATGTTTTAATGGTTTAACTATTAAATTAAAATGCAGAACCTTGATGACAATGAGCTACCTTTTCTAGTCACTCTAAATCCTTCTGAAACACCAAAAAGTACATTGCATAAATGGTCACTAGGACTGTCAATTCCATCAGTTGCAGCAACAAAGGCTGTTCTTGAGCTTGATTACATCCAAGGGAAGCGAAAAATTTGGTTTTGTGGAGGATACCAAGGTAGTATTTTTCCTTTTTCAGTCTTCATAGATAAGTGTCATGAACTCATGATACTCCCTTCCGGTAGATAATCAAGAGCCTCTTTCATCTAAACAATACTTCACCATCTCATAATACACTTTCATAATTGACTTTTGAATGCCAAACACCCAAATCTAAAATTTAGAAGTAATATGAACGATGTCTTGGCCCTTCAAGAAACTATAAGATGATATTATAATGCGAGGTTTATTGTACGTAGAAATTGCTTATGATTTCATATATATTTGAGCTTGATGAAAGCAATTTAATTCATTAGATAACTAAAGGTCATACGTAAAAATTGTTTATGAGATTAAGAGAGTGACATGCAGAATTTATTTTGAAATTGATCATTGTTTCATAGAACCTAAAAGGGTTTATGTAATATTGTTTAATATCATCCCTATTATTCTCATGCATAAACTCTACAAAAGGTTAATTCACATCACCGTACCCTTAATATCAACCACTTTTTCTTGAGTTTATGATTATATAAGAAATAAGTGTTTCAACTCTAAGTATTTTCCGCTATGTTCAAACTTTAATTACTTCATCTGAATTTTACAACATATAATTTATCTTTATAGGTTACGGGATCCTCGAGGATGGTGTGAAGGTAACCTATTACACAAATTATATTACATGCATACCTCTTTTGTAGATCAAATAAGTATTTCAGTACATAATTTGGTTCAAATTTTCATAAATAAAGAACACATAAACATTAATGTCTTACATGGCTTTTCATTGTCTTTCAGGCAGGCATGGTTGCGGCAAATGGCATTCTTAAAAAGAGTTGTGAAATTCTCAACAACCCGAAAACTATGCTACCATCTTTGATGGAAGTTGGTGCGAGGTCACTTGTTGTTGGGTTCCTTCAAGACTTTATTGCTATTGGCACTTTAATGTGAGTCACATTCTTTT